TAATGACCCGCCCTCCTGACGATTTGGGGACAGGAAGAGGAGTGTATCAGCGAGAGAAAAATAACAAATCAGAGTGACATGATATTTTCTGCCCACCTCTCTTGGCCAGCTCTTGGGCAGTCTCCTTCCCGATGCCTGTGTTGGCTCCGGTTATAACCACAGTCTTTCCAGTGATGGTGGCATTACTGGTGCACCGGCCTCCGGTCACATGGTTCCTGTGGGGGGAATTAAAACACAGTGATGTGCTTTCTTATGAGTACATGAGAATGCATTAGTACCTGGTTTTGGAATGTAGACAAAAGCAAATATCAATACCTGGCTGAGCAGACCTACCCAGATTATCCTGATGTCAAACTCTTTGTGTTTGGTTTTCTTTTGTATTATTCATGAGTTATGACATATTGTATTTACCTGTATGTATATGTTGTAAGATGGAAATCCACTTTGATATCAAACATGACAAAGAGACATGTTAACAGGGAGGAGGCTCTGTTCACACAAGTGACGGCTGAGAGGAAACTTTAAAGTGGTACCTACTACATCACCAAGTCTTCAAGATGATCCCTGTTTCAAAATCAGTTTTAAGACCTTCATTATTCCAGTTATCTAGTTTTTAAAACCTTCATTATTCCAGTTATCTTGCCTTTATCTTCTATAGTTATGTGTCAAATCAAATCACCACACTGCGAACTTGGGGCAATTAAGGAGCAAACAGCGAATTTGTCCTTGTTGCCATTCACAGGTTAACCGAGCTGAGACGGTGTCACAGTGAATTTCCTCAACAAGTAACACTATTACTTAACTGTGTTCACTTACATATGACAAATAAAACGTGTAAATGTAAGCTGTAATTCTCTCTACTACAACAACAGCATATTCTGATTGAGTAAATCGAATGTTGTTGTTTAACACTGAACTGAGCTTGAACTTCACTGTGTATTACTGTTATAATTATAACCACGTGATGAAAACACAGTGTACACAGTCACTTCTTCGTGGGGAGTCACTCACTTGAGTAAAACAGCGCCGCCAATCACAGTCCCGAACACAGACACAGGTAGAATGAATCTGCTCATGACTCCAGAGCGATGCTGAGCAGAAACAAACCATCCAGATGTGTTCCTGTTGTCTCTCCAGCTGCTTTCACTACAACACTCCTGAGCTACGCTGCTGCCGCACAAGGTTACACGCGCACACTTTCAACGTCATCCGCTCGTCCCGACCAAACACAGGCCGAAGAACCCCAGTGGCATTGTGGGAAACGTAGTTCCATGTACGAATGGCCTTAAAATAAGCAAACAACACTTTGGGGGGTTTTGTTATATTGTTGAGTGTAATTTGTTTGTCCTTGTCACATTATGATTTTTGTTCAATTAAATTTCAACTTTGCTTTTGAGGAATTTTGACTGTTTCAAATTAAATTACAATTTTATTTTCATGATAAACAAACCTTTTTTTTGATTAATTTACGACTACATTCTTTATTCTTACTGTTGAGTTTATTCGTATTAAATGATTCTCATAAAAGGATGACTTTTTGCAATCAAATTAAACATGTATCCTCATATCATTATGACTTTAAAAAATTATTTATAACTTTATCCTACTAAAATTATGATTATTTTCCTGTCACATGTAACTTTTTAAAATGGATGAACGTTCTTCTCAATTAGAACTTTATTCTCAAAATCTCTTTCAATGTGGTCCTACTACTCCTCATCAAGAAATTGGAGCACATTACACTACTTTCTCTAATCACTGCTGTGTGTGTCAGAGGATGGAATTTAAAGTCCTTTTGACTTGTCTGTACAGCACTGAGACATTTTTTGTGTTTTTTGGTCGATTGTATTGTCTTTTAAAAGTAGTTTTATTGTATTATTTTTATGTATATCAATGAGTATTTGAAGGACTGTAAATTGCCTCATGTCTGAATTGGTGCTTTATAAATAAACTTGCCTTGCCCTTATTGAAACTTTAAAAAATATTTCTCGATGCATTTATCAACAGCAATTCAGTTACTTTGCTGAAAATCTGTGGTGAAAAGTTATTTGTTCTCCGTTCCTCTGTCATCTTTATAATTCATCAAAACATCTATATAATTAATGTTGACTATTGCTTTTTAAAATGTATGAAGGTGCTGTTTGCTTTGAGAACATTGTGCATCTGTTCATATCAACGCTGAGACAGACACCAGATTCTGTAAAAGTCCATCACTGCAATGCTAAACCAACTTGATCGCTCATTTATATTTCTTGCATTTGGCTTTGTGAGAATATCTCACAATCGCATATGAAAAATAAAATTTCATAGAAATGCCTTATTTCAATGTAGAAAGCTGTGTGGCTGTGAATTGCTTTTTGGATTGAAAAAGACGTGAATTGCTCTGCCGTTGCCGGTGCAATGTCATTCTGCCGTTGGGGAGCCAGGTGAGGCAGAAAAAGTGAAAGCAGCACAGAGGGGAGCTTAAGTGAGACATAGAGGGGCTGTTATGAACCAGTGCCCAGGGGGTTGAGGGTAGGGTGTAGCTTTGCACAGCTTCAGAATTAAATACTCGGGTTTCTTCTGCCTAAATAATTCTCCACAAAACAAAAACACCAAGGTTCCAATTTCAAATACCTGCTGTTAGGATTTGGTTTGATTACTGACTCTGAGAGGTTTTGGGGCAATAATCTACAGGGATGTAACTGAGAATTACTGTAGTGCTGTATCTGCAAGATAACTTTGGATCGACTCAATTTCCTCCCACCTGTGACTATAATAATCTCAGGAGCCTCTATTATTCATCAACAGACATGACATTTGAAGATATATTAGTCGGGGTTTTATGGCTGTTCTGGTAGTATTAAATCTTGCATATACTCTCATGGGCGTAATTGCAGTGAAAATGTTAAATTTCTGCACAGGCAAAAAAAAAACACAGGAACTTTTTTATCTCCTTCCCTCCTGTTGGTCTCAGAAAATACATAGATGATGCATTATTTTTTTAAAGTAAAAGTTGTATGTAATTGCGATCAACAAAAAGCATGTTCGTCTTCAAACTTTAAGGCACTTGAGGCCCTATGTAAATGCAGCCACCCACCCATCCACCCACTCACGTGACACTGCAGTTTATAGAGCAGCTGGGATGCAAAGGAACAGAGAGAACTGTGCACGCAGATGAATTTGAGAGCAGTGAAAAAAGGAGGCCAACGAGAGGTGGAAAACTTGAGGTGACACATAAAAAAAAGTTTAAACTAGGACATGAGAGTGGTGACTTGAAAAAATTAGGAGGGGAATGAAGGAGGAGGGGAAGCAGAGCTGCTCTATTTGTTCACAGCTCAGAGGTGCGTCCCCCTGGTGTGTTTGACCCTTGCTGCTCTCTGCTGTCAACCAACAGTGCTTGACCTTCACTATGATTTATGACAGCTCTGTTCCCACGATAACCCAGAGGAAGCTCTCCGCCTCATTGCCCGCTGGTCTCGAAAAAGCTGTGTTGTATGAGACACCCAAATGTCTTAGAGGTGCTGAAGATGCAGCTATTTAATATCCGCCCATCTCCTTGAGAAGGATAAACACACCCTGCGGGTCAAATGATTTTGTTTCAGGAAACAAAAAAGATCAGATTCCCCTGGCTCCATTCATCCTTTCCTCCAGATCATGGACTGGAGAAAAACAGCTTATATTTCAGCCTGGGTATGGCTATCACTTGGCTTCAGGGGCAATCTGGGGAAACATAGGGTGGAAGAGTAGGCATAAAAAGATATATAGAGAAATTACAGCAATTATAACTCGAAATAATAATAACTTCATTTGTATAGCACCTTTCAAAACAGCTGTTACAAAGTACTTAAAACAATAATACAAAACCTGGAAAACAAGAAGCAAACTAATACAAAGACTGCACATGATATAGGTAAATACAGATAAAGGATAAAGGAAACATATAGCATAAAAACAGACAAGTAAAGGACAAAGAAAGTGGATGCAGGAAAGAGAAGGAACAAGATAAATAGAAGTTGTTCCTTGATATATTTGGGGTCTGGAGTCATTTCAAAGCAGCAAACAACATGAGTCAAAGTCTTTATCATTGATTTGACTGAAGGAATATTTCCTTTTCATCATTTTACACTCAACCCATCCAATCGGTTGTCATCCACGATGATGCTCTGAGGTGATCCCTGTCATGTTGATGCTGCCTTTTCTCTCCAATCTGTTCTGGTTGGCGAACACGTCTGGCAGGAGGCCTGTGGTTAAACATGTACAGTAAAGTGGGAGCTGCCAGGGCAGTGAATTAATTGAAAGTCTTGCCTCACTGTGAATATAGGGACAGTTGGCAAAGTCACCGTGTCAACTACTCGGAGGCCATAAGCTGTTGAATTATGCAAGAGAGCAGAGGAGCAGCTTGTTCCTTGAAAAACGTGAATCAGAAGTATGAGAAGCTCGTGTGCGCACTGATGCTGGATGGGTGGATGGATGGAGAGTGTCCAGGCGCTAGGACCCGGGACACGTGAGCGCATTAGTTTGCCAGAGGGTGGAGACGGTGAACAATGAAGGAGCTGACTGGTGGGACCAGTAGAGGAGCAACATCTGAGACCCCCACCACCTGCAGAACCCAGAGACCCACTGGACCCACAGACACAACAGACTGACCGGCCAACAGCGACTCTAAGACGCACAGCTGAGTTTGGATGGAGAGGGGACATGTGGATTTTCCTGTGCGCACTGCAGAGAGCCCCCCTAAGTGGGTGTGAATGAATGGGCTCGTCTGTGAGTGTGTATGTGTGAGTGTGTAAGTGTGTGTGGTGCTGAACTGGGTCATGCGGACCGCTGGAGGAGCGAAAGATAAACACGCACCCGCCTCCTGCTGCTGCTGCTACTGCTGCTTGGCAGGTTGACATGGTGGGCGCTCAGAGGAGGGATCCCAGCCTGTGTCCTCGCCTTAGCAGATGATGATGATGATGCTTTTTTGATTCAGTCCGCCTCCGAAGATAGAAGTCATCGGCTCGCGGAGCTTCTCCACGAACTAAACTGCACAGGTCTCATCCTGGACGGGCTGCAGCCAAAGCGCAGCGACGCACTGGACATTCACCCATGCGGGCTTGGTCAGCCGTGAAAGTGTGAGGTGTTGTTTTGCTTTTTTTTGTGTTCGTTTTCCCTTCTTTATTTGTGGAGGACATGCAGAGTTCACTCAGATAACTTCCTTCAAACCGGGAGATCCATCCATCAGTTCCCCTCAAAGCCCCGTGGGGGATCAGTGCCGAGCGGAGCGCAGCGGCTCTGCTCGCCGAGCGGATGCAGGACCATGGAGGAGAGAGACAGGTCGCCAGCAGGTGAGTTAGAAACACCCGGGTGGACCCTGGGGTGCCTGCAACCGGGTCACCCTACTGTACACTGTAAATAGAAATATAGAAATACCTGGTTCTGGCGCGCCCACATCCCCAGAGTTGCCAAATTTGCGTTGTCTGAACTTTGACCCATTTCGATGCACAGTATTATTATTACGCACGATGAATCCACCACCGTGCACTCATAAAACACCAGCGTCATTACTTATTATACAGCTCCACAGTTTTATTTACCATCTGGCTGCGATTAGCCTTAAATAGAGTTAGTGGCTGAGATGCGATTTCATTTGCATTTTCACCCACATCAATAGTGATATACCCGCACCTGCTTGTTTCCCTTTGCTGTGCTCACTGTGAGATGGATGGATGGATGGATGGAAGGATGGATGGGTGGACGGGAGGGCATCCGGTCCACTTCACTTTTAATGGCCCCCTTTTATACTTTGTCCAGGACAGACAGGTGATATGTCATCGTTAATGCTGTCTAATGTATTTAAATGAGCAGCTGACTCCATTGGGCAAAACCCTGTAAAAGCAAAGCCATGGCGGCTGGTAATGGACTGGAGGAGCAGCAGCAGCAGACAATGCACATGGATTTGCTTCTGTCACAAACATTGTACTGATGGACAGAATAAGTACAGGTATCTTTGGCTGAACGTCACTTTTAAAATAAGCTGCACCTTATGTGAAAATCAAATTGAATTCAGTGGTGGTGTCAAAAACCATGTAAATTATATCATTCATCCAATATTATACTGATACCAAGAAATAACCATGACATTTATTACTGGTGATCCACAAAACAACAATCAGCAAACAAATCTTCCCTCAATGACAAAGGGATAGTATGTGTTGAATGGTGATTTGTAATTGAACCCAACTCAGTTGTGAATAATATTGCCTGATATTGTTCACCCTGAATTCATCAAGAAAACATCGTGGGAGTCCACACAAATGCCGCAAACATGGCCCACACAACTGGTGGTATCTTCTGTTTCTGCAAACAGACAATACATCTGCAGCATAAACAGTTTTTTATAAATGACCTACTCTGACAGCTGGCATACAAACGCCAACTAAAACCCATATTTGACCCCCACCATACACGCAAAACCGTAAAGAAATTGACCTCACTATGAACAGTTAAGCAGCGAGCGATGGCAAACAAAATGAAAACAGAGTCAGCCACAGGAAAACAGAAAGGAGGCAAACATTGTCAGTTATAGGACAAAAACAGCACAAGAGGGAGTTCTTATTATTACTTGTTTAAATCTATAGTTGTCTTTCAGTGTGACCATAAAGAAAAATATATATGGATAATATCCTGACCTGTCAATCATCTCAGTGAGAGAACAGCAGCCTGATGACACGTCTGTCACTCAATGTATACACTGCGGACGTGGGTGTGTGACTGTGTGTGAATGTGTCCTTAGTCATGCAGTTTGCACCAGTGTTTGTGTTGACCTCTGACTTTTATTAATGAATATTTTATTATTTGGTTTATTAATGTTTGGGTTCTTGTTTTTAACAGTCCCGTATTTTACTTTGTGTCTTGCAGGGATGGCTAATCCCCTTGTATGCATTTAAAGCACTGTTGAGTGTGAATTTGAAAGAGAGAGATGTGGGGAGTGTGCCTCTGCAATCAACATTAGTGCACTGATTGTAGTTAGAGGCTATTGCATATATGCAGGATCACAAATCACCATAAACTGTGAGCCCGCCTTGAAGTGGAGGGTGAAATGGTCCGGAAACAAAAAAAAAAGAAAAGAAAAAATAGCAATGTCCCCCTTAGAAGTGCTGTTACATCATTTAGCCACACCTCCATTTAGACCCCCATTTTACTGAGCTGATATTACAGTCAACGTTTCCCCATGTATTTGACATCAAAGGGATGTAGCCTATAGCATGTGGTACAATGGCAGGGATGCTTCAGTTCAGCCTCATTGGATTCCCCCAATCCTGCTCTCTCTCTCTCTCTCTCACACACACACACACACACATGCACGCATCACACGAACTATCCCTATTGTAAACTTGAGGCTATTGGATTGTGATTGAGTGGGGGTTAGGTACAGTATGTTCCCTCGGTAGTCTGTTGCAGTATTTCAGTGCTGAATGATTTTCTGTAGGACACGATTACAATGATGACACTGATTATGATTGTCCTTTACAATCAGATGCCACTACAACATTGATGGACTGCTCATTGCAACGCTTTGTTCACCTTCGATTCATCATTCTACCCATTTGTTTCCTCTCAAGGTCATTTGTCATTGACGCTAAGCCAAATGTCCTTGCAGTTTTACCTCCTCTCTCCCTCCTTGTTTGGATCAATTTCACCTTGGGATACCCCTTCGCGGGTCTGAGGTCATTCCAGCTGGAGGCCAGTGGTTGGCAGTGTTTCTACCAGTTATCTGTTTGCCTTTGGCGGCTACATCGGGTAAGTGCTGGAGAGAGAGGGAGCTGATAATAACGACAGCAGAGGCGAGACGAGTGAAAAATGGGTCACCCAGCACTCCATCACAGCAGGGATCCCCCCCTGTGGGCAGCTGGGCACAGGTGTGAGCTTGTGATTTGTCAAAGTGAGAGTCCGTGGCCCGGGCGGCTGGTTCACCTATCACAGCACAGCAGGAGCTTTCTTCGGCCATGAATTGAAGCATTGCACTAAACTCACCAACTCTGATGTTCTGTGCCGCTGAGGAAAATGATTCTGTTTCTTTTCTATCCTATAGGTAGCAGAGTGCCCTGATTGCAAACGGCTGTCAAAAAGAAGCCTATCTGGATTTTGATTGAATTATAGGTTATTTAGGACCCATCCATACTGAGGCAGCAAGAAAATGGACTCAGAATATGTATATATATATGTATAGGCTACATATATAGGCTATTCATGCAGCTGATTTATCTTGAGTTGGGCAATTTGACAGTAAATTGGACATGGGAGATCAGTCTTCGCCCATAATGACTCTTTCCGAGAGCAAAGGAACTAGTCCATTAGTAATGGAGGGAGGTAGAGACGTTATGCCAGCTCAGCAATCTATTTATTTCTTTCATTTACATTTTCAGGGACAGACGAGAGAGAAAGGGGAGAGACTTTAAGCAGGATGAACTAAAGAGGACAAACACTGTGTAAAGCTGCTGACTCTCATCCCCTTCTTCCTTCATCATATGCTTTGTGCTCATTAAGATACATTTGTTACAGATGAAGGTCCAGCGTCAACCGAAGAACCCAAATGTTCATCCTCTAATGTCGGAGATGTGAATCTGTATCATTGGTTGAAACTCACCTCTACCCTTATAAGTGTTCCTGTGGTAAAATACCTTACAATTTCTGTGGTACAAGTACCTCATGTTGTGGTACAGTATGATCATACCACATAAATTCCACAGCAAAATGTTCCAGTACCACAGGAACGTTTTGTAAGGGTATGAAGTCGTTATGTGGTCATGTGAAACGACAGTTCATTGCAACTATATGTACAAAGTTTACAATAGCTCACTGAATACACAATTATTATCCCTGATGATACTGTGACGGTCAAGATTTGTCCACTTGGAGACCAGTTTTCATGATGTGTTAACCTAACTAGCTTCTTAGAGAACAAATAACCCTGTTATGAACTGACCTCAACTAGATTTAAATTTGTGAATAAGCCTAAGCATGCATTGAGCGAAATGCTGCCTTGACCATGGCAACAAAACAGAAATTACAGGCTGTAGAATCTAGCCATAAACCTAAGTATTGGGGGAATTGACATTGTGACTCGAGGGTGGTGCTAGACAAGGGATCAAGAGTTCATCCTGAGGAGAACATGAATGTCTTAAGTCAAAGTTCGTGGTCATCCTACTGTTACAGTAGGATATCGCTCAAAACCACAAATGTCTGCTCCACGGCAGCACTAGAGGAAAAATCAGAAAGCCATCTGGATACATCATCTAGGAACCACAAATGTCTGTACAACATTTGGGGCCAATCCATCCAGGAGATGTTGAGAAGAGAGAAAACTTTATTTTAGGATTCATCCTTTTGGGACCATGAAAACCTCTGCAAAAGTGCATGGCACTATATGGAACAGTAATTGAGATATTATGTATGACTATCCCTAGAATCAATTATCCAGTATGGACAAAAATAAAGCTCATCTCTAACAATATGTAGGACATAAAGAGCCACCTGAAATCCTCTGTAAGACTTAAACTTCAGTGTAACACCCCCATGAGTTCAGAGGCTAAGAAGTAACTTATCATGAGCACACCCTGAGGCTCTAAAGACACAGTCTGTAATGAGAGAGCACTGGTGGCCAGTGGCATCACAGGGTTGGTCTCTGTTCTTATCTCAAAGTGTTCACAGAAGAAAAGGTCAGATGCTTCTGCAGGTTAATCTGTTGGAGACACATGGAGTCAGCCACAACAGGCACTTTCTGGGAGAAAGTCGAAATGGTGAATAGGTTGCCTTTTTCTGGGAACAACCTGATTTTTAGAAGGTTATATTGTGAATGCACTCATCTTAATTTGAGTAATTGCTAAATGGAACAAGATAGTCAATCTAGTTGAGGGGAAATTAGTGGCCGGAAAACGATTTCTGCTTCAGAGCGGAAAACCCTCTATCTCCACCCTTCCGGGATTAGGAAAACAGGCTTGTTGTTAGATGGCCCTCTTTAATACATGTTGAGTTTATCTATTGAGATTTTCAAATGGCTTGTGTAAAAGCAAATGTCAGTGGATTTTTTAGATAGATTTCATAATTAAAGATTGAAAATCCCTAAAATTACTAGGTCTTACAATAACAGCAGTGGCTAAAAAAAAAGACAATGTAGGACTTAGTGGGCAGCTCAGGGATCTGTTTGTAAAAGGCTTACCGATGATTAACAATGCGTTGGACTGGCTCAAAAACCCACAGACATTAAAACGTGTCTCGAGCCAAATCCTCATCTGGAGGTGGAACGTGTTCGTGGTGGCGTTGTCTCTATAGCTGCCTGAGAGGACAGAAAAGGAGCAGAGGGCAGCGTGGGAGATCAGTGGAGTATTCACGAGTCGTTTTGAGGCTCACAGCTGATCCCTCTGACTTACAACTTTGATAGAGTGACACATTGCAACTGATACACCTGCCTTCCCCAAAACTCACACACAAACATTCATCTCTACACCTCTGAGGCGCTGCAGTTTCTGAAACCAGCTGCGTCGACTCCCAACAACTCATCACAATTTCGGGACTCTTAATCCAGTTCTGTGAAGGAAATGAGCGCAAAGCATCCTGTGCTGTTGGGTGGGAGGGGGGTGCTTTTGTCTTTGAGGGAGCTGGGTAATGTGATTAGGATCCATGCTGGAGCGCAGCACTTTCTGCTCGTGGAGCTGACTGAAAGAAGTGCCAGTAAACCAGCGCTCCCTTCGCTCTCATTGACCGAGGCAATGAGGCCACGCGAGGTGGACGGTCAGAGGGAATGCGCTTACAGTCTGTCTGTCCATCCCATCTCAATGTTTAGTCACCAGACCTTGACCGCAGACTTGTCTCTGGATAGTCATCAACTTTTGTGTGGACTCTCTGAAGGCTGAACCGTCGGCACGCTCAGCATGAGTAGGCTACAATATTCATATCTCTTATACAACCACCTCTTTGCTTATAATAAAATCAGAAAGTAAGTTTTATCAGCAGAGATACATACAGGGCTTGTTCTATTTGCAGTGTGTTGTTTTTTTTGTGGTTTGACTAAGAGTGCTGAGCCAAGAACACAAGCCTCTAAATGGCTGCATCCTATTTTAGTTTTTGCTGTCTAACAGCTATTTTTATCACATTCTTCCCACACGATAGCTGAGGAACCGCGGCACCTTCACAACGTCTGAACATCAACTGCATGTTAGCAGCTGTGTGTTAATTCCACCTTCCTTTCAAATCTACCTAACTGTCAACACACTCACATGCGTCGGGCTATTGTTTGAGGTGTTTGCAACCAGGTTTGAACCTGCAGCTGCTGAGAGAACTGGCCTCAGGGACAGGAGAACAATGCGGTCGCCTTTGAGTGATGGATGACGGAGATCATCAGCGAAATTGTTCGGCTGATTTGTTGCTTATTAGTGTGTGTGGGTGTGCGTGCTGTGCATGATTGGATGATTTAATACAGAAGGGGGGGGTGAGGAGAGACAGACAATGGGTGTGATCATTAGTGTGATACGCTTCATTTCATCAAAAGGTCCATTTTGCTCATCCGTTAGTTTTCTTTAATTTTACACAAACACTGTAGAGTCACTCAACTCATATTTTAAACAGTGTGACTGACTAAATATAAATTTGTAATTAAAAATATCAAAATGTTCCCTCTCATATCAGTTTGACCTATTTCACTACTTCTGATAATCAGCAGTAATTTTTTTGTTCTGTTCAGCAATATGATGAAAATACTCACTGTGCCAAAGCAAATGTATTTCCCATGCAACCCCTTTTCTCACAGCCACACTGATTTGTTTATTCACCACGAACAATGTCTATAGCCCCGGTATGATCTACTCAATGTGCTCCCAGATGCCTTACCAGCATGTGTGCACCTGAAGCTGTCAGCTCCTTGCATTTCTTTCCATTTGTTAGTCCCTCTACCTGGGCGCATTGATTTTCCCATAGCCGTCTGCCAGTAAGTGCTGTCTGAGACCATATCTGAAAGCTGGCCAGAGTGATCTAGAGGGACAGCAGGAAGTTCAATGCATTTACTGAAAGCACTTCCCCTTGTTGTTGCCTTCCCTGCATTGATTGTATGGAAATTATGGTCTGTTAAAGCCCTCCTGATTGAACCATCCCCTGGACAGCCGAGAATATATGGATATACGCCAAGAGACATAAAGATACCGAAGAGCCTTCTGTTATAAACAAATTCATGCATAAAATTTATATCACCCGCTATCATCACAGCAGAATAAACCCTGACTCTAAGCATCACTCTCCTCCTTTAGTTTGCCCCACAGCGTCAAGGCGAGCCTGTCTCTTTCTCCATCGGGGCTGGGACGGGCAGGCAGTGGCAGCGGGGGCTCCCCTACATCCAAGATGGACTACTGCGGAGGGGTGCCAGTGGAGGACATGCAGGCCCTGGCCATCACATCTCTGTCAGCAACAGATGTAGCCAAACAGTACGAGCACATCCGTGAGCTGGGGAAGGGCACGTACGGCAAGGTGGACCTGGTGGCGCACCAAACACAGGGTGAGGTTATACACAAAATAAATTCAACAAAACAAGATGATCTGCCTGCATCCACTCATTGCAGATCAGCATGTGTAAATTATGAATTTCAGCAATGATAATAGAGTTTTAATGAATTTCTTATGTCTATTGTAACAAAAAATCAAGGTTATACTGCCGTCTCAGTCTGAAAGCAGAAAAACTAAGCATTGTGCAGAGAGCGGCTGAGAGGGCATTAAGGGTGCTGCTATATGCACTCTAAATAGCCTCTGCATTTCTGCAGCTGTAATCATGAGTGGCTGGTTATACATGTATAATGGAGGCAAGATTCATTCACTGAAAAATGTTTATATGAATGAACCTGACACCTGTTTAAAGACGGGGTCGGAAATGTCTCCACAAAGTGCTATTTTAGGTAACACGTATTTCAGATGGTAAAATATTGGCAGGATGTGATATAATGTGTTTAATACACCAGGGTCTGATTGTGTGCATGTTTGTATCTGATTTTTGCAGGCACCAAAATGGCGCTAAAGTTTGTTACCAAGAACAAGACGAAGCTGAAGAGTTTCCTGCGGGAGTACAGTCTAACAGGCTCACTTAGCTGCAGCCCTTTCATCATCAAAGTCCTGGACGTGCTTTTCGAGACGGAGGACAGCTACGTGTTCGGACAAGAATATGCCCCCGCTGGGGACCTCTTCGATATCATCCCCCCACAGGTAACACTGTCATCCGTCTTTCCACCAATCACAGCCCTCGCTCAGACAGAGCTGCTCCAATCAGTTGCCGTGTTCAGAAACAGGGGTTTTTAACAAGCTCTCCTGGGATTGGAGCCTTGTCTTCGTCCTGGTTTTCTCTCCGCACAGAGCTCTCATTTTGCTTTAGTGCTTTTCCAGTTGATGTGCAGGGAGTGCTCGACTTCAAGGCTCATCTACAGACTCATTAAAAATGGTTGCAGCTGAACTCAAAACTGACTCTTTTGTTTCAGTTTTCCGTAGCGTATAATTTTTCACTGTGAACGTCCATTCTTCTGCTCAATATAACCTTTATCTATTCTTTCTAATAGTACTGTAACTTCATCACAAACTCTCAACTCCTGCTAAGTTTACTGTACTTATTAGCCTATTATCCAAAGTTTCTCTCTTTCTGTCCCTCATTACATTCCCCTCTGTTTTTCTCTCAGGTGGGTCTGCCAGAGGAAATGGTCAAACGCTGTATGCAACAACTGGGCTTGGCTCTGGACTTTATGCACAGTAAAAACCTGGTGCATCGGGACGTCAAGCCTGAGAATGTTCTTTTGTTTGACCGAGAGTGCCGCCGCATCAAGCTGGCAGACTTTGGCATGACACGGCGGGTGGGCAGCCGTGTGAAACGGGTGAGCGGCACCATCCCTTACACAGCACCGGAGGTGTGCCGTGCCAGTCGAGCTGAGGGTTTCCTCGTGACCACCAGTCTGGATGTGTGGGCGTTCGGCGTGCTGGTGTTTTGTATGCTGACAGGCAATTTCCCCTGGGAAGCAGCGCTGCCGTCCGATGCCTTTTACGAGGAGTTTCGGCGCTGGCAGAAAGCAGGGTGTCCCGTGGGAACTTACCCGTCTCAGTGGCGCCGCTTCACTGATGATGCCTTGCGCATGTTTCAGAGGCTGCTAGCTGCTGAGCCGGAAAAACGCTGCGGAGTCAAGGACGTCTTCTGCTTTGTCAAGTATGAGCTGGTAAGCGAGCTCAGGCGCAGAGCTTCTTGCCGAGCCAAGAGAAGCGAGAGGTCAAGCACGGGAGTGTGCACCGGCAGTTGCACTTCCTCCTCATCCTCCTCTTCATCACGTTCCTCCCACCGACACCCCGAGCCCTCCACCCCTCCCGGAACATCCTGCCTGCGCCCAGCCCCGCTCAAACGCAGCGTCCTCTCCGACCCGCTGTCTCCCAGAGAGGAGCCTGGACAGAACCAGTCACCAGGCCGAGACAAGAACAAAAGCCAGATGGTGATGGCGACTGCCATCGAAATCTGTGTGTGACCACACTCATGTTAGCGCTGGGGACGAGATGGCTCGTCACATAATGACAAACTGTGAAGAGGTGTTAATGACTCCTCCAGAGACTCCAGTGAAAAAGGAAATGTACTCTAACCATGGAAGATTAGCTCAGGATCACATCCACTGCTGTGAATATGGACATCATCAATCAGCAGGACACACTCGGACAGCTTATCACCGACACGGGCCGCTTAGGTTTTCATTTGTGACCAAAGACTGCTTCCCACGCTGAAAAGCCATGCAGGCAGCGTGTAACAGTCCGCTGATGATGCTCCTCTCTGAAGCGCATTCTGCCGTCCACACATTTGTGTTTTCTGCCCATACACCGTGGTGGTGCTATTGATTCTATAGTTAGATATTTGTCATTTCTCACTCATCAATCCCCATCTCTTTACTTTAGAGTTGACTTATCTCCGACTATCAGCTCCAGGGAGGCCAAAGTGACATCTGATCTGATGATGCTGTTCGGATTGTTGATCTGAGGGCAATCTTCACAACCACATGCGCCTGCAGTTCCTCAGACTTCCTGCCAATGCATATAATTTGTTATAGACTTCTTTTTTTCTGACACAGAAAGTGTGCTAAAGGAAAAAAGTCAAAAAGAAAGTTAAATGTAGCAGTTTGTATGAGACGTCTTTTCATTTAGGTGTCTAGACTGAGAGACAGACATCACCTCAGGACTCTTCTGTGGGTCACTTCCTTTTTTTTTCATTTATAATGAAAATCCATTGACTGGCTGTAAGACACATCTGCCCCTTGTGAACTGCTCCAAATGAGATTCACGTCCAATAGAATACAGGGATTGTACATTATCTGAGCGCAAAGGGTGACGGAGCAAAGATTATTGTTCTTTTCTAACTGCTGTGTGTGTTGGGACAAAGTGTGTGTGTGTTTCAAACGCTAAAGCACAAGATTTTTGTAAAGGATGAGAACTCTTAGAGAAAACTACGACTCTTTATTGTAAATAATTGAATATTTCTAGGAGTGCACCGTATCATCAGGTAGTTCAACAATGTAGCTGTTCTAATTTTCTACGATGGAGAAAAGGATTTTAGGGGTTTTACATTTACTGACGGGGCAGCGCACTGTATGTAGCAGCAAAATATGACAGAATGTACAGTTTATCACAAGAAATGAAATATAGAGAGATCTAAAGCCTATCATGGTGTATAACATGGTAGCAGCTGCTAGAGTTAGTTTTTTTTCATTTGACGTTTTCGTGACCCAGACAAAACTCATTTCATAACCTCATGATGGGCGACATCCATTTTCCGTACACAATTATCGTGCGTCTTTGTTGCCAGAGAGTTCAGCCAATTCCGTCTTCATTCGCTCAGTCAAAGCAGGTTGACACCGTGCAAATTAATTTCCCAGCACCACAAAAGGTGTTCCAATATTTGATTATCAAGACGCAACATTAAACACACAATTCCCGACTGCACAGAATACGTTGTTGCATCACCCCCCATGCTCAGATTTAATTGAGTCTTCCTGCCTCTCTCTGGGAACCCCTCTAAACATCTCACTGGAATAGCAGAACCCAGGTGTTTTTGTCTGGAGGAATGACCTCTGTGTCGGCCATAGCGGCTCGGATAACTGTTGATTGATCCGCAGCACGCCGCTCCAGCATCAGTCTCCAACGAGATACTGCCAATTATCACAGCTTCCAAAAATCACAGTATTTTCAGTGTGAATGGTTCAATGCATGCCCATTACCAGTATTTTTCTTGCTCGAACTGTTTGTCAGGTGTGTTTACATACGTGCGTGTGCGTGTTCGTGTGTGTGTGTGTGTGCTTTTTCCCTAATTTCTCCACTCTTCCCATGACATCCCATCAGCACTGTTACTATAGTGACAGCGCCAATGCTCCTCTGGTTCAGCTTCTGTCCTCTTCTTAAACATACATTCTAATTGAGCCCAGTGGAGACAACTGGCCGCGAATGCATTGTAACATGACACATCAGAACATGACGTATCAGAATATGACGTATCAACATGACGCATCATAAACAAAGATGCATCATAACATGATGTATCAACATGACGCATCATAAACAATGACGCATCCTAACATGACGTATATGACGCATCATAATGTGACCCATCAACTTTGCCAAGTTTCACAGTATCTTGACGTGAGCTGAGGCTTTGTTATACATCATATCATCATCATTAGACTGCTATCATTGTTTCTCATGGACCGTCATAACAGCAATTGTCAAATTTAATGAGGTGTCAATTTATATAAAGTTTTGTTTACGCTCTAGAGAGTAGCCTTCCTTATCCTGTTTATCCTGATCAAAGATCAAACTGTTGTAGAATCTCATGTAAATACTGTACGTATTGTGTCTTTAACTAAATGGAAAAATAAGAATTAATGAAATGATAATATATGTTGAAATAAATTTATGCACCACCTTGTGGCCCCTGGGTATTTTTGTGAATGGTTTGAAATATGCTGGTGGCTTCTTTTTTTGTAGGCAAAGCTAATTCAGCCCAGCTCTGCACGGTCCCTCGACTGCACATTAGATGAAGGTCAGCTTGAATCACATGTGACTTCCCGAGGCGTTGGTCTTGCACTGCGAGGGAGCCCCCCAAGACTACTTTAATATGCTGACTTCCTTCTGAAAGCCTAATTAACCCATCTGTAGATATGAAGTTATCTGCTACCCCCAAAACAACAAACGAGTTCAAGGGCAGCAGGAATGTGGTGCAGAAGACGAGAGCAGTTATCAGCCCACCAGGCCTTCTTACTAAGTCTCAGCTGTTGTGTCGGAGCTGAGGAGCTCGCTCGAGTTGTTATCAGACCGAGATTGGACGGTGGCGGTAAGCTGTGGTGTAACTGCCACTGAGGAAAGCTAATCAGTTCAGACAGTGCAAGAGAGAGGAAAGGTCAACCATGACATGCCGGGCTTGTGTAGTGAGTGGAAGCCTGTCCTTTGCTTTTAAAGGGCCACAGCAGCCCAGTGGCCATGTAACAGTCCTAATTGCGTTAAACTGAGAAGATGGAAGATAGTGAACCTAGACTGAGCTAAAAGAGTGGATGCGTTTAGCTGTTTTAGGCGAGTGGTACCTACTATTTTCTGGTTACAGCATCGTTAAAGGGCATTTATGCAAATATTAACTCTGTTGGATTGTTCATATAGAAACAATCCAATTATTCAATCGAAAATCAACAATATTTAAAATGATATAAATGAGAGTCCATTTGGTGCTTAGACTCCTTGTGATGTCAACAAGGTTGAAAGGAGGTGAGGCTGTAGGGACAGGAATCCTTTGGCTAGAGCTCTTAAAAGGAAACTAAACCAAACTGATTCCAAGGATTTCTAGAGGTTAAGCCTTCAGTGACTGGCCCAGTACCACGGACTGCTAGGAACATGATCTCCCAGTTTGCAGCAGCCTAGATTAAGTGTTAGATCCTCTTCAGTTATACTCTCTCACCGAGGGCCAACAGCAGCAACATGAGGGGACTGAGAGAAAGATGGAGAGAGACCACTCACTGTCCTGTGTCACTTCTTCGTATTTCACATCTCTGCAGGTCTCACCAGAAAAAGAAAATTCCTCTCAAACTTTCAATTTGATTTCATCACAGCATGAAGTGTTTGGCAGGAAAAAAAGAGGTTGTCAAATCCTTGCAGCTTCGCCTTGGGTGCATGAATGTAAAGTGAACCGGACAAACAACAAATAATTCAAGTACATGTCAACCCAGGCGCTAGGGCCTATCTGAAGAGAGGGCGTGTGATTTATAAGGGTGGGTTCACAAAAGCATCATGACATCTAAAACTGTCGGAACAGTGCAATGTTGCTGTGAAACGGGGCGCGGTGCAAATACAACGACTGAGCACGACCCACAGCCAGCAACATGATGCATTCTGCATGCAAATGAACAGCATGACCAGCAGCGGTGCATAAAATCTCAGAAATACGCACAAATAAACAACTGAACAATACGACCGGTGGCACTGTGTGAAGGGGCACAATTAAAACCATTTCCTAAAAGCACATACGTATCAGCAACGCAATAATAGCTTTGTTTAGGACCTGCACAAGCCCGACCAGCTAATCACGCATTGGCAAAAGTGCGATTCTTTGCAGAGAACAATCTCACTGGAGACTGGGCTTATCCACCCCGAGATCATGCCTCTCCAAGGCTAATGGCAGCAGTACTACCGGCTGTGGATGAGCTGGGAAGTGGTGTGGTGGAGGCAAGGAGGTGGAGGAGACGGCTGGTGATGGCTGTGCAGACTGCTCAAGCAGTGAGCCCCTATTTTAAACCCTTTTCGGTTTCCATTTTGAATCCAAAACTGAATCCTGCCTGTGCAATTGTTTTTGTTTATGTAGCTGCTTGAGAACATGCCCGTTGTTACGTTTAATAATTTTGCGGCGCTGGCCTGTCTTGCCTGCCCTTTGTGACAAGCCTGTTATTTGTGCAGCATGTATTCGATGTATATTTCCGCAGTTGAAAAATCTTAATACTTTGTAGCTTTTTAAACATGAGCAGAGGGTTCAGCTCAAAAACATCTGCTGCACTACTCCCCAAATTCAGCCTCTTCATTCACATGAATGTTGTGTATCTCTTCTGTCTCACAGATAAAGATGATGACAAAATTGTTCCGAGGTCACAGGCATGTAATTACTGAGCAGCTCTCACTGCTGAACAATAAAACACTGCAGCTGTGTTGTGCCTTTACATTAACCACCCACTGAGGTTTTCTTCAGTGGGAATTTAGCCGTGTAAGTGGGCAAACAAGCACAGGCGCCACATTCTTCTGGAGGTTGTATGCATAGTAAACAAAGGAGGGTTTTATTTCTGAGTTTTCTGAGTTGCAGACTGCAGAGTAATATTATTTCCTGCCGGTGTAACACCACAGGGTGCTGTATTAAACCTGCGTCACCCTTCCTGCCTCTGCACCTACAGATGAATCACTCTGAAAACCGGCAGATGCACCATGAACTATTTTTCTATCCTTGATGCATTTTGCAAAACAGCTGCAGGTGCAACACTGGAAATGCAGACAAGGAATCGAAAGTTGGGAACACGGATGGTGGTCGCGATCTCAGCAGGGAGGAATTGACTGTGCGGGGATGTTCCCCGCTCCCTCAGATGTGAGCGCCTGGCGTCATGTTAAAAAAATGGTGACTGATCACAGCAGGAGAGCTGGGAAAAGAAAGGGAGAAGAGAGGAAAAGTGTCTGAGCAGAGGAAAGAGAGAGGGGTATGGCCAGGGAGGGATGTGTCAAGTGGGACAAATGTGTTTGTGAGTGTGCTCCAGAGGGAGTCACATAAGGACAAAGTGACAGCGCACCAAAGAATATGTATTCATTGCAGGGGAGTCATTAGACAATAACCTTGTTTGTCCTAAATTGCTGCTGTTTTTAGGTCACTGCAAAGCCGCACTCCATTAGAAACCTATTTATGTGTACTGCATGTTGCCTGAGGTGTGCCACTAAATTTTATCAGTGCCAGACATAAAATCTCAGACACTGTGTGGTCGTCTGCCACCATTGCTATAGCAACAGAGACGGTCTGGGTCTGGAAGAGCTCTCTTGTTTTATAAACCAGCTGCACAGTCCTTGCTGTGGAGGCAATGTATGAGTATTTGATTGTGCCTTTTTTTAAATGTTGCTTTGTAGAGCTGAAACATTTTGGTCTTTATGTTTCGAGCAGGTGCTCTGTCTCCAGTATGGAAGTCTCATTAAGTTGCACCAGGCCTGTTTGTGCTGCATTAGACATTGTTACTACTTCACTACACAACAGAGACAAATATCCTGTGCAGTTTACCTGACAGCTATATTACAGTCCCCACATTTTATATGCTGTGAATCCTTGTAGTGAAGCGTAAATTCAGTCTTTCTGCACAAAAACTCTGACCAAACTAACACGCTCACCTACTTCGATCCAAAGCACCTAATATATAGGATCTTCTTCCATGGCGTCTCACAGGGGTCGAAGCACCAAAGTTTATTTTCTTCTAATCAAAATAAATATAGTTCTTGTTCTATTGACTCATTTTATTTGTCTGTGAGTCTCTCCTGATTGAAATGACTCAGCCAGAATCAGAAACGTTTTTTACAAAATATCTAGATTTGAATACAAGAGTGTGAGACAGGGGCAACACACAGAGACAAACTACCATTCACATCACACCTATAGACAATTTAGAGAAACCTAACCTCATTCTACATGTCTGTAGACTTTGAGATTTGAACTAGGGACCATATTGCAACCCACAGGGCTAACCACCACTGTGACAAATCTGCTGTGGGTATTATGTTATTCGAATTAAACATAATCTAAATTTCCCAGCCTCCCTTGGGCCACAATGTCAATTTAGTGCCCAATATCTTAATCTATGTCAATCTAATGAGCAGATTGCAGATTGTAGGTGTTTTGTAGCATTTCTGATGGGTTTTAGATGCACTGTGGAAGCATACTGCTGTGTAATTAAAGGGATCCTGAAAGCACAACCAAATATTAAAACACTAAAGAAAGTTTCTGAACAGCAGGTGTTTATGTGAGACAGGAGACAGCAGTTTGAGTTGTAAACATCGTTTCAAGAGGCAAGTCTGTTTAATTATTTACTTTTATGCGTAGATGGCCACTTAACACGTCTGAATTCTGTTTCACTGCTTTATCTCAGAAGTTACTTTCAAAAGTGTGAATCGAGGAGAATCCTGATGTTCACACTGTCGCCAAATGAAAACCACGAGCTTCACACTGTTATACAATTTACATTCACACTGTCATCACCCGACGTGAAATTCTCTCCGGACTTCAAAATCTGAATGCGCACCATCGGCTGCCACGAGGCCAGCGTGTGCCACCCACCAACATCTGTCATCTCTCATGCTTCACTTATGCCAGCTCTTCACCGCCCCAGCTTAAAGGACAAATCCACCATGTTGTTACACATCAAAACATCTGTCAAATAACCAAAGAAGCTTAATGATATATATTTAAAGATGCTATACAATCTTTGAATGCAGTCCTGACATTTTATTATGTGAAATGAATACAAATAACACAGCACAGGAGCTTTGCTGTCAGACTTGTACTTCCTTTAGATTACATTACAGAAGAAAATAACACTGAAACACATCAACATTATAAAGTATTTTGTCTTTCCTCACAACCGCTCCTTCCTGTTCACTAATCCGTAATGAGGTTTTGTGTAAACCTGATAACTAACAGAGAGACAAACTAATGCTGATGAAACATAAGCTCCTTGACAAAGGTAATTATATCTGTTTGCACAAAACATTCACACAGGCAAAGTTATTATAAATATCATATTATAGTATAATATATAAATATTATATTATTATATCTATATTTCAAAGACTAGAATAATTTTTTTACACACACACACATTAGCTGATGCACAACATTATTTCACAAGCACAGAATA